ATCAGGTTACGGCGACCATTAAATGAAATAGATCTATAACGTGCTTAGCTCATGGGAAGCTCCACATAATAGTTTTAAAAGAGTAAAGGCAAGAGGGAGCCGTGGGAGGGTGCTGGTGGTCTTCAGGTTGCTCACATGTGAGGAGGGGGGACGTGGGCAGCCTGCAGGGAAACCTCATCCTCTCCCCCTGCAGGCTGGCCCCAGGGTTCCTCTCCTTGGCACAGCCCCAAGAGCCGACCACAGAGAGAGCTCTTTCCACTCGTCCCTGGCCCCGCTCGTGCTCTGGGAGATGGGCGGGGGCCGGAAGGACCTGGCGCCTTCAGTTTGGCCTGACAGCCACCTCGCTGACCACTTGTCTGTTTGACCATAACTTAAAACTGCGTCATCAGATCAGAACTTGGGCTCTCTCTGCTGGGCAGCTGTAGCCTCGTCTGAAGGTGCCACAGAGAAACTGAAGCTCTGCAGGTCTCCCTCCTCCTGCTTCTCCAAGTGTCTGTGTGATCCAGTGACTTCCTTTAAAAGTCCACCCCATGTTCTGCTTTTCCCAGCATAGGGAGCCAGAAAAATCCAAAGGAAGGGTCCTCTAGGAACCACCGCGTGAACAGATAGCTGTTTGGGGAATGCGGCCAAATACTGTGTTCTCAGCGTGGCATATTCAGACACGCCATCCACCGCTTGTTCATTGGTGATTACATTAAATGCTGCGTTTCCCAGGGAAGGATCTGCTCAGCCACCACCAGCTTATTCATTATTTATATACAATTAAAGGGCACGGCTCACATGAACACAAGCATATGAGAAAAGTCATTATTCATGTACAGATCAAATTGAACATTTGTCATTTCCCTAGTGACTTAACATACTCTTTGTACCTTGGGACCTCAAATTATATTAAGCACAAGAGATGCTTTAACTCTTTTATTTAGTCTAATTGTTGGCTTTAATCCGCGTGCTCGGATTATTCGGACTTGTTTAAAATTAGTCCTTGCTTCTCCTTAATATATGAAAATAGAAAAAGAGGGAAATTTCTTTTTAGTACCTATTGCATTCTAAGGATGAATGCAAATTGTTCTATGATTCTTAATGACCCACCATTAACATAGTAGGAAGCCCAGTGCATTAATGCAATGCCTCTTTTCACATCATTACTCCTAATGGAACTGTTACCAGGATAATAGCTTGACCTTTAGCTATAGATTCAGACAGCAAAATACATTCTGCTTACTCGATACCTCTTTTCACATAGCATATTGAGCATTTTTGGATCAATACAATGACAATCTTTTGGCCTTGTTCTAAGGCCTCATCTGCGCATGTAACAGAGAATAGGATTTCATCTTCAGTAGATAGATCCAAGTTAAAAGTCTCTTTTAAATTTGAATGTAATCCATGAAATAGAATGTCAGTAATACGCCCAGTGGAAATATTTGCTGGTATAGGTATTTTCCGAGAAGCCTAATGCTGTGCCTTCAAAGGTCTTAGACACAGACCCAGAAGACAAAGATTTCCCTGGCTTCTTTATATTGTAACCGGATAAATTTTAACTGAAAGGAGAAAAAAGAAATAGAAATTATTGCCTTTTTAGTGGGTAACAGAATATTTGAGCCCAAGATAAGCTTAGAAGGATCTGCTTGCAAGTCCCTCACAAAGTGGGAGAAAACATTCCAGAGCCTTCCCTTTGGTTCTCCTAAAACTTGGTCATTGACATGCGTGGTTGCTTGGGAGTCATTTTGATGTTGGCATAACCCACAGTGACTTTGTAATTTGGGACTACTGTTTTCTAGTGTGTGCTAATTTAGACACATGCGTTTCACAATCTAAGAAAAGAGGGGTTGCTATGGAAATTAATTATACAAATAATGTCACAGGGAGGGAAATGTTTACCTGCTAAGATGATACATTCAGTCATTTTTGTGGTACACATTTTCATATAAACTAACAGTGTGCTAAATACAATTATTTTCTTTTTGTTAAAATAGAACTTCGAGAACCTTTTGGCAATTCTCTGATCAGCAAATGTTATTGTGGGCATTTGGATGTAATATATAGCCTTTTTTAACTATATTCCATGAATTAAAACTTTCTAAGTAGTCTAAATTCATGAGCTGTTGTATCGGCTGCCATTAGAAACAAAACTGGAAAATATGTGTGTTCATCAAATATTTATTGACTTCTTGCTCAGTACAGGGCACTGTGGTCGGTGCTTTGAGGGAGACAAGATAAATGAGGACCCGTGAAGTGGTCTCCGATCTGGTGTAGGAGATTCAAGAGCACACCTGCCCCCAGGGATATCACTTCGTCCGCCTCCCTCCCGAGTAGAGACCGCCGGCTTGCTCATGCCCACAGGCCATATATGGGACAGCCAGGTTGACATTCTCCCCGATCCTCAGTTCTGCTTCCTAACCATCTCCCTTCCTCTGCTCGGCTGGGGCCGGGGTGGACCCTTTCCACCAAGGCTCTTATCACAGCTACACGCTTTCCTCTCCCTCCCAGGTCCTGCTGGCACCTTGAGTGACTTCACTGTCCTCAGGAAAGATCCCGACCCCCTAGCCGCATCACATCCAGACCTCGTGCACAGTGACCACACCTCAGCATCCTCATACAGAGCTGCTGCCCCGCTGATGCCTTCTGCTCCAGCATGATACTCTCAGTTGCCCTCACGCTATGACCCCTCCTTGCCAACCCCACTGATACTCCATTCCCTGATCCCCATAGGTTTTTCCAAGCGTCTGGGCCTTTTTCTGGCTTTGCTTCCTTCCCAGATTTGGGAAGGGACAGGGGGAGTGAAGAAAGCAGAGGTAATGAAGGCCAGCTGGCATCTGCAAGCGCTTTATGTCCCTGTCCTCCTTCCAGGACTGTCCAGCAGAATCCTGACCTGGACCAGTCCTACCATCCAGGGGCGCCACTCCCAGCTCGGAGCTGCAAGGCGCCACGGGACTGTCGCCACCCCAGGCGCGTCGGCTTCTCCTCCGCTCGGCATCCTCACGTCCTCGGTCTGCTGCTCTCCTCTTCCTCTTCTCAGAGGCAATCCCAGACATTGCCCGTACTCTCCCTACCCCTTGTCACTGAGGTCCCAGGAGTGATTGCTCCAACCTAGGCCACTTCTAAATCCGCCCCAGCTCCCATTCCCGCTGGGCGCAGGGGGGTAAGTCTTCATCCTGTTCAAGGGCAGCCCCCATTTCCGGATCCTACCACCTCAGTTCTTCCAGCGTGGTTCCTATGACTGTCTCCTTCCTTCTCCTGGATCCTGCCTTCTCCAGAATGTAAACCATGCTCACGTCTCCCCAGCCTGCAGCGCCCCCCACGGGCCCCACTTCTCTTCCTTCCCCCAACTGAACCTGGTTTTTCTGGAATGTCGTCTGTGGCCGCCCCACTTCCCCCTTGAGGAGCCCCAGTGACACTTGGCAAACGGCTGTGCCTGACCCTCTCTTCTGCGCTTCAGACTGTTGGCCCTTGTCTTCGTTAGGCCACTCACTGGTCCTTACGAGACCGCACTTCCCGGTTCTCCTGATTTCGCCAGCCCTGTGTCTTCATCACCTTCCGGCTGGGGTTCCCTCTGGCTCTGTGCTTGGCCCTGCACTCTCTTCACTCCATATGCTCTCCCTGGCCAACATTTTTTTCTCGTTGCTCTAACTGCCACATATGGGTATGTGCCTCTCGGGCCCGTATCTTCTGCCTGGACCCCTTCCCTGACCTGCCGGCTTCTGTGCCGTGATAGCTGCTAGCCATCCCCGCATGGGTGTTTGCGAAGCACCCCAAATCGGCACGTCCCAAACCAAACCCAGTACAGCCCCCCTTTCCCCTCAAACAGGCCCTTTCTCCCGTATTCACCAGGTCACAGGGTACCGGGCCAGTCACCCCCACCACCTTCACTCTAATGTTTGAATGGGCCTGGTCCCCACTATTTTATCCATATTAAGTATTAGCTTTTTAACATTGTTTTTCTGGTTTAGTAGATATAAAGTGTGTTTTGCAGTTCTTTGGTTTATATATTGGCTGACCATTTCTCCTAGATACTCTTTGTCCATTTATCTATAGAGACTTTTGAAGTTGTTCCTTTATTTGAATGAATTTTTTTTTCATTTTGGTGGTAGATATTGAACCTCTTCGGTTGTATGTAGCGCAACCAGCTTTTCTCATTCTGATGAAATGCTTCTTTTTCATTCAGTAGAAGTTTTACAGTTTTATAGAGTCGAATCTGTCAACATTTTCCCTTGCCCTTTCTTTTTAAAAGAAACCTTTAAAACATTAAAACTGCCAGTATTTTAAATACCATGAAGGCAGGGTGAGCTGACCGCATGCTAGGTCTCTTGCTTGCAGGGAGCGATTGCACAGATGGGGTGTGAAAGCGCCCAAGACGGAGGGAAGCAGAACTGTCCACAGCAGCGCCGGGATGGGCAGCCACACACTGCGCGCCTTTCAAGAAGGCCACCGTCCTGTCTCCCTCGTGTCCTGTCACGACCCCCTCCTTGGTCCCCCCCGTGCTCACCAGGCAGCATTCCCCTGGGTGCTGGCACAACATGCCAGAGACTGGCTCCCAGTCCAGCTGGGACTCTAAGACACATCTGCATTATTATTCGAGTACTGACTGAGTTCGTGGGAAGCACCATGGGAATGCCATCTTTTTGTGTCATCTTGCATTGTGTGTGATCTTGCCTGAGATTCAGTTTACCAACAGTAATAATCCATTGGCTGAATTTTGTCATGGTGTCAGCGGACCCCGAGGAAGCATTTTCGTCTCTACCCGTAAGACATATATACACAGATGCGGAACAGATAGAAAGAGCGGTTCCATATAGCCAGTTGCATTCCGAGGCACCATCCAGTGAGCGGGGTCCTGCCAGCCTCCATCTTTACCAAGGGAACGTCATAATATAGACGTTGAAGATACCCATTTTTAGAAATACACTTTTTTTTTTCTTCTTGGGATATATTCCTATTTCAGATCTGCGTGGTTTTATTTGTGAAAGTGTTTAACAATATTTCATATTTTCTCTCAGTCTTCACAGAAAAGTACTGCACGGCTAATCACGTGGATAAACTTCCTGGCCCGAGAGACTGGGTGCAGATTCTGCAGGATCAAATCAAACTGGCCAGAAGAAGGTTAAAAAGAGGCTCAGGTATGAATCAGCTGCTAGAAGAGAATCACCAGCAGCCCTTTCCTGAATTCTCAGACGTGGCAAAGTACAATTCTCTGCTTTAGGGCACTTTTAGGTCTTTTGTCTTTTGAAGGAAAAGTTCTATAGAATGTGCCGTGGTTTTGCATTTTAAAGTCTTACTCCAGTGAGTTTTGAAATCCACCTGAAGATTAAGTAGTAAACATTATTATGTCAGGCCATTTACGTTTTACTAGTACAAATGATGAAGACTGCTCATCTCGTTCGTGGCCTGGTGTGTCTTCCCTGTGAGGCTGGCTCTCTCTTTTGTGATCCGCTTCTATTTGCTGTTGAGTTTTGTTTGTTTGGAGCTGCATGACTTTATAAAAAGCACCAGTTGCTTGAGGTAAAAAAACAAAACAAAACAAAACAAACAATAATCCTCCTACCAGCAATACCACATGAAATAGACAAAGGGGTTTTAAGTCACATAGATATTTTTCAAATCTGGCTTTGGCAGTTCTGAGATGGTTTTACCCAGGAACGTGAATACCAGTTGAATTATGACTATTTAGATTTGGTCATTTGACGTCTCAAATGACGGTAGGCCGATTTACCAGTGAAGCATTCCTTTGAGGTCAGTTTTCTGCCATCATGTAAGAATAATCATCTCTAGGAGGCCACAAACCTCTAGAGGTTATTTTTTAAACCAACAAATGATTCCGATCAAACGTCCAGACGCCTGGCCTGCTCAGAGCCTCCGTGCATCTGTAGTGGGGATTGCGGGTTTCGGGGCGGCTTCCAGATGCTGCCTGCCACCAGCTGGCTGGTACGGAGGCCCAGAGAAGAGCAGAATAGCAGCGCACGTGCGGGGGCCTGGGTCTCCGCCAGACCCCCGCACATGCGCTCCCAGGGTCCCGGGAACAGTGACCGGCCCCCGGGAGAGCTCCCGGCACAGGCTGGGAACGCCCTCAGTGCGGCGAGACGCAAGCAGCAAGGGACGACCAAGTGCATCTTTGGGTGAAAAACCTTACAGCTGTCTTCCTCTGTAAAGCAGCTCTCAGGACTCCAAAGTATTTAGCCGCAGATGATTTATTATTTTAATTAAAATCTTCCCTTCCTCTTTTTTCCCCCCATTTGCTCCCTTTTACACGCATTGACGCTCTTCATAAAGAGCGGTGGACTACCGACATTTGTGGGCGGTAGAAATGTAGTGTCGCACCAGGCAGTAAGTTGTAGTGGAGCCCAGACCTGGCTTTCAGGTCCCTGCTCCTCAGCAGCCCTGCACCTCGGGCAAGTCGCTGCAGCTGCCCGGTCCTCAGTGTCTCTATCACGAAGGGACAGAAAGATGAAGCCTGCTTCGCAGTTGTCACGAGGTTCCAGACGTATGTCCTACGTAAATGTCTCCATAAACAAAGCTAGTGTGCCCCCAAAAGCCGCCCCCCCCCCCCCCACCCCCCCCCCCCCCCGCTCCTGCTGCCCCGCGTAACTGCTAGTTACGCCCCTTTGCGCCTGAGCAGGTTTTCGGGCTTGGATAATAAATGAATCATACACTTGCCCTTCCCCCAGGGCTCTCCTTTTCCTCTGTCTTCTCTTTCTTAATCGACAAATCACCGCAAATGAACGTAGCGGGGGCACGCTGCAAAGAACAGGTCTGACTTCCCGGCTCCGATCTGCCATTTCCAAATTCCTGGGACCTTCTCTGAGCCTCAGGCTCTCCATTCGTATAACAAGGCTAATACTTGCCTCAGGACTGTTTTCAGAGTTAGAATCAGACAATGTAAGTATTGCCACTAATATAGAGCCGACACATAATGCTCAAAAAATGTTCATGCCCTTACCCTCCTTTCCGTGGCCAGCCCCAAACAAAGCAGAACTATTCCTTTATCCCTGCCATTTCTTAAAACCACCACTGTCTCTTTCTCCTGGACGGAGTTGGTCAGATTTCCTCCCAAAGGGTTTGCCTTGCCGGAGTTGGCTTCCCTGTCCCTGTTCACTTCAGAACCCATTACCTTTTGCCCTCTGGCCCCACCCCCGTACAGAAACTCCTGCTGCATTTGCGCGGGATGATCAGATTCCCGTTCTGTTACATCAACACTCCACTTGACCTGCTTGTTGATTTTGACTCCATGGGATCTCTTCCCTTGGGCTCTGGGGGCCTCCCTGTCTTTGCTTCTCCTCCCCGTTCTCCCGCACTGCCTTCGGGTTAGTCCACAGCCCCCGCCTCCTGGGCCCGCCTCCGAAACCCAGCGGCTTGCTTTCCATTCTTGGTGCTGTTGTTACTCTAACACCTCACCCAGGACTTGAACCATCCCACCATCGATGGCTCACCAGTGTGCAGCTCCAGACGTGTCCGTGTCCCAGGACCCTAGACTTCATTCTCTGAGAATTAGATACTTCCTCTAGCTTCCGGTCTTCCCCAGCTACGACCCCTTCTGCACACCCCCTTCAGCATGGCAGGCGGGCTCCTTGACAGCCAGCCCCACCCTCCTCGCCCACTTCCTCCCCTGCCATGGGCCTGGAGGTGGCCCGGCCCTTCTCCTGCCCCCGCCTCACCGGACGCCGCCCTGTTCTTAACCGGGCTGGGCTCTCTGCCTGGGAAACAGCACCTCCTCTTGTCACAGATCTCAAAGGACACTTGCTCCTGGAGCCTTCATCTGTGGCCCAGCTCTTTGGTCTTCTGCCACCAGAATAATGGCATTCCTGTCTCCTCCACCAACCCTGAGATCCCCAGGAGCAGGGTCTGCATCTGAGTCGTGTTTCTCTCCCAGGCGTGTGGCACATCGTGGACACACAGACTATTTGGTGAATGAACGAACAAATCAGTCAGTGGAAAAAAGAGTCAGTAATCCACAACGAAAAGGTCTTATTGTTCAGCTCATCCTGGTCACATGAGATCCTGGATAATATTCTCAGAGTTCCTTACTCGACATTCAAATACTTATTCCATGGCCCCCAGAATCCACGGGATGGCAACATCCCTGAGCTCTGTCCCTGGGGACAAGGTCCCTAGGATTCCTGGGGAGCCCCGTGGTGCTCACGTGGTTGTCCTTGAGTGCCCCTTCTTTCCTCCTCCTCCAGCGCCTTCTCTCCTTTCCTTCTCTGCACCCTACCTCCTCAGTCCCCTTCTGATTTCCTCTCTTCTCCCTTCCTCCCCCAAGGGATCAGGGTCTTGAGTCACAGTGGCCTGACCTCACTCAGGGTAGATTCACTGAGTAATACTTAGGAAGAATAACTCCCCTAGTGGGTCTCTCACGCCTTCTTTTGCTAAAGATCTTCTGCCTCAGCCTTACTTGCCTCACAAAGGCCCCCTTTTATTACTTCAGCCTCCTTAGACTTCAGGCTCCAGGAAAGGGTTGGGGGGAAAAGGGTCACAGTTGCATGACAGGTGTTAGCGATGACAACTGGCCAGTAGAGTACACAGCAAATCACCCCTCCTTGAGCTCTGATGCCCTGTTGGGTGCTGTGTCTCCTCTTTTATATCCCAAGTGAAATTTCATTTATTAAGCCTGAATGGTGTCTTTGCTAATAAGGATTAAGTTGGTCTTGTGTTGCTGAAATTCTACCTTGGCGATCTTGACTGTTTGGGTATGTAGGAACTTCATTTGCCTATTGGGGAAATTGTTGAGGCCCAAAAAACAGAGACGCTAAGGAGAGCCGTCAGGCCTGAGAGAAATCTATAATTTGCCAGAGCGAAGAGACCTGAATTTAATACTCTGTAAGCCCAAAAGAGAGGGGAAGGGCCAAAGTACCCCAAGAACTGGCCACTTGGCTACCTTTTGGTTCTTCCACGCACTGCTCCCAAGAATGACACCAGCTTCTAGCCGGAGGTGGGTTAGTATGTTCGTGCGCTTCAGTTCCTCTGCTTAGAACCCACAGAAGCTGCCTGGTCTCTGCCTGCTCCACAGCGGGTGGACGGAGGAAATGGGAAAATGTGAGAAATACCTGGAGCAACTTGGGAGCTTGAGGGAAAAGAACTGTATGAATCCAGAGTACCGGTGCTACTAATTCGGGAACGACAGAGCCAACTCAAGAGGAAGGAAGAAGAGGGCTTTGTGTTCCAGAGCATGTGCCTCCAGCTGAGGAGAAGGATTACAAGTCCCTGGGGGACCTGAAAAGTTTAAGTTTGAAGAGGAACCTTTGAAGGTAGAAGACATGAAAAGGAGGGAGAATATCGAGTATATATCGAGTGTATTGCGGAAGGCTATTTTCAGAGACACAGAAACAGCCTTTCTGGTGTTAAAAGGAAAACCACAGGCCCAAAATGGAGTCTCTTGTACTAGGGCCACTTCACCAGACTGGGGCGCGTAGTACCTAACCTGACTGCGCTTTCAACCTCCCCCGGGAGTGTGCTCTTAACTGGTCAGTCAGGAATTTTCTGGTCAGCACCAATAAAGTAATCGGTCACGTGGACCCTCTCCATCTCCCAGAGCAAGATGAGGTAATCCACCTAATAAGACCCTTTTGTCCCCAAAGGAAGGTGGCCTTACCCACAATAATCCTTTTTCTGTTTATGACCTTCTCGTCCTGTCTTTTAAAAGCTTCATGCTTTGCTGGAACCCTTTGGAGCCCCCCGTTTGCTCAATGGGATGCTGCCTGATTCCTGATCACTTCATAAAGCCAACTAGATCTTCACATTTACTCAGTTGTGTTATTTTTAACCCTGGAAACGGCCTACATGACTAAAATAGGGAGTTTGGTTTAAATTTCGTTTCCTCGTTGTAGTGTGGAAACATCTTCAACGTATAGTTTTCGTACCATTCATTTTTTAACAAGGGGAAAATTCATTTGTAAGCTGGTTGGGAAAAAAGATCTTGATATAAATTTATATTTGATAAAAAAAATTTGTTTCCTCATGCTGTATCTTTTATACATAAGCACACTTTTTTTTTTTCCCCTAGCGTCAGGTGCTGAGACCAGTTACGGTGAGCTCCCTTCCCTGCTTCCCCCCAGCAAACACACATGCACAAGGTGGGCACTTTCCTCCACGTTCCTGCTTCTGTTTCCCACAGACTGACCAGTGAGCACATTTCTTAACCATCCCAGCATCTGTATTAGTAAATCACAGGACACACACAGACACGCCTGCTTCTGCAGAGTGGGATCCAAACTGTGGACAACTCCCCTCTCCTTCCCTTCCCGTGGGAGCCTTTCACAGGCTCAGATGTTGTCTGCCCTGTTCCCTAGTCAGCATCATATTCGACTCAGGACATCTTCACGTCTGACCACTGGGTTTAGACGATCCACCTGTTTGTGATGGGTGCCTTGACACTTCTCTGCCTTCTTGGCAAGTTCCTTCTGCATCTGAGAAGGGGGAGGTGGCTCCAGGGTAGACCAAGAGACAGCACATCAGCGGCGACTTGCCAGATAGGCTTTCTCTGCCAATTTTGTCAAATACTGTTACACTTCATTCTCCTCAAGCGGCACCAAAGTGGGACTCTTGCCTTTCCTTCCTGAGGCTGATAGGAACTGAGAGGCCTGGATCAATATGTTGCTCCTGCTCATGTTCTTTTGTCTTGATTATTCCCAGTCCAAGTGATAATACGAACAGTGTCTCGTAGATGTTCTACACATCTTCAACCTTACTTATCATATTGGGCGCCATTCCTGTAATTAGGTACAGACTCTAACTGGGCGAGCTCATCAGCTCGCTGCGGCAGGAAGCCCACCCTGCCTCTAGGAAAGAGAGGTGCCCCACACAGAGCTGAAAGGGGGTTCTGCGAGTTCAAGTAGAAATTCACTTGGGGCTCTCATCACATATAATCATTTCCTCCTGTAACTGGAATGATTCCTTTCCCGGTGTGGATTTTTAATCATTTTCATTAGGTTATTTCCTCAGAGCTTGAAACCACAGTTTTTTATTTGTGTTAGATCCAAGAGCAAAGCTTTCACTGCTATTAAATTTTTATCGGACTTGCTCAATCTTTTCTAAATTTCACAACTTGCGGGGCGCCTGGGTGGCTCAGTCGTTAGGCGTCTGCCTTCGGCTCAGGTCATGATCCCAGGGTCCTGGGATCGAGCCCCGCATCGGGCTCCCTGCTCGGCGGGAAGCCTGCTTCTCCCTCTCCCTCTGCCCCTGCTTGTGTTCCCTCTTTCGCTGTGTCTCTCTCTGTCAAATAAATAAAATCTTTAAAAAATAAATAAATAAATAAATATCACAACTTGACTGTCACCTGAGAAGACTACGAGCTTGTTACAAACAGATGTTACAATTAAATTTAAGGAACACAGCTGTGTTCTTCACCCGTGACACTTGGCCCTGTTCGTGCAGCCAGCATGCACTAATTTGCATACGATAATTTGTGTATTTTTCAGACGTGTACATTCCGTTTTTACTAGAGCATAGGATTGCATAGGCCTGGTTTTTAAAAGTGAGGATGGCTAAATTACAAAGGGAGGGGTTTTGTTATAATTAAAGAGAAAGTAATTATACATGTAGAGAAAGTTACTAAAGTATAAAATGAACTAGAAGTTGAAGATTTTAAAAATTGCTCACAGTGATGCATGCAGTATATGTCTGGACTGTTAATAGCGAAGAGATTAAGAGCGCAGGCATGAACCTGACTCACGGCCTTGGCTACTTACTAGCTACATTCCCTTAATCTCTCTCTTTTTAAGTTTATTATTATTATTTTTTCATAATCTCTGTACCCAGTGTGGGGTTCGAACCCACGACCCTGAGATCAAGAGCCACACACTCTTCCGACTGAGCGAGCCAGGCGTCCCGTATTACCTTAGTCTCTCAACCTCTGTCTCGGTTGTTTCCTTTGTTAAAACGGGCATAATAACCGACCTACCTTGTAGGATTTTCTCAGGGTTAGATGACATGACGTATGTAAAGTGCTCAGTAAATGGTAAACATTTAATAAATGGTGGTGGCTTTCATTGCTAGTATTATTATTACTGAAAAATTTTTTAAATCCTAGACGGTGATAGGACTACTGTGTAGCTCCTCTCCCTAATCAAATTCACTCAGGCCAATTAGAAGAAAATAGTGTCTTCTCAGTATAAAGATAACGTATGTTCGTTATTTCATAGATATATACAATGATTTTAAAAACTCAAAAAATTTTAAATGCCTGTAAGCCTTTCATCCAGATTGAAACACTGTTAACATTTTAGTATGTCCTGTATTTTGTCTGTAAGCCTATTTTTAAAATTTTTAGTCTTATCATTTATCCTCACACTTGAATCAAATGTTTTATGTTATCAAATAGTCACCTACAACATCATTTTAGAGGAGAAGAGCAGAAACTCTTCTCCAGCCCAAACTGGTCTTGACTATTGTGTCTCCTCTCGGCGTTTTCTCTGCGGTGGATTTAGCGGGTCCGCAGACAATGGGCCCTTCACTGATGCCAGCATGTAGCGATCTGAGGACAAGGTGTCAGAGAATGAACCGGAGTGGAAGCCTTTGAGTGTTTCTAGCTATATCTGCCCTCCCCTCCCCGATTGTGTTTAAAGCCACAGCAATAAAAACAGGAGCGGAGTATTACTTTGGCTTCCCACCGGCTCAGCATCCCAACGTGATGGCAAATGGCAGCCCCCATGTGACTGGCCTCACACACGCCTGCCAAGGGAACCAGCCCCAGGACGCACAGAGCAACTAGCAAAATTATCCAAATAGCCCTGATGAAATGTTTTGACCTGTTCCCGGCATGCTGGGGAGACTGATGAGCCCATCAGTTATCGGGAGACGTAGGAGCACTTTCTTTTTTGTACTTAGCGGAAGGTTTTCTGTGACTGAAGGAGCTACCTTTGGAAAACTCTTAAGGAGATTAAAACATATCAGGCATGAGCAAAACCGTGTGCATTATGAAACAGAGACGTGACGAATCTGTTGAAGATACACTTATTCCTTCTGATTTTCTTTATGGCTGAACTGATGCCCATTTTAGATGGGCAGCTCCAGGATCTGAGTTTCCAGTCTTCTCCAAAGAAAGGCTGGTTCTCAGGATTTCCTAAGCCTCCCCCACAGGGATGGTTCTGGGGATGACAAGGGAAAATTCTACCGCAGGGATTCACTGACCTCTGTCCTTCCATGATCATACTTAAGCAATTCCCCCCAGATTCTGGGTGGATATTTAAGCCTAGGCAAACATGGGGAAATGAACTGAAATCATCAGTGATTGACAGAATTAGGTTCATAAGATACCAAAAAGAAATTTAATGCAGGAAAAAAGATTTTATATCATTATCTTAAAAAAAATACTTTAACTACTGGTACTAAAATCTGTAATGTGAACCAACTAAAGCTGCAGAGGGGGAAGAAAGTTGAAACAATCATGCATTACTGGAGTTTTTAAATTGTATTACTGGATTCAGGAAAATGAATGTGTTCCCTGAAATTAATGAGATTTGTGTTTTATGTTTGTAACCAGCAGAGGTAGCTGACGGTGATGAAAGACTGGACAGCATTTCCCTACCACCAACAGGTAAAACACATTTACATTTTCATCACCCGCTGGAAAATACAGCACGTGAAAACATTTGCATTGAAAATGTTTGTGACATCAGAGATCCAGATGCTTGAGCAGGCGGCTTCTGGCCCAGACCCTAGTAATCAGAGGTTCTCAGTGCCCTGTGTTAAGAGATATTTTTACAGTGAGTCTGAAAAGCTCCGTTTTTCTCACACTGTCTCATATTCTCAAGAGCCTCAGAACAGCAAGTCCTAAGAACTTAGTGTCGCAACATCATGCCTCCCAAAACCTGTGGACATTAAGAGGACTTTAACGTGAAATGATATTGCTGTCTAGAACAAGGATCACCAGCTTCATGATAAAATTCATGTCTGGTCTGTCCCCGTCTGCCTCCCCCCGAGGGGGTTTTGAGAGGCAGTCATGGCTCTTCATATAATGGACACACATTATATGAAGAAAGGCTGGTTCCTCATGCGTGTGAGTGACCGGATAAGCCAGTCCCTCTAGCATGGCTCCGTATTCCCCATCCTAGAAGCAGATCAGCCTGCAACCTCTGCTACAGCAGGAAGCCACAGACATAATTCTGACTTCATAGTATGTGACTCCGACCGCAGCCTCCTGGCTCTGTGTTGGCTCATACCTGAGAGCCCGAGGGACGGGGCCCGATCCCTGGGCCATGCGACAATTTACTCCCTCAGTTGCTGGCAGGACTCTTTATTGACCGCCCTCCAAAGTCAACCTGACGATTTTCTGCCCACAAAACCCAGACACCCCAAAAAACCCTCTAAGGGAAAAAGCCCAACTCCAGATTTAGGGTGATAAGTTTTAAGTAAAATCCGGCAAACAGAAGTGGAAGAGCTAGTCTTTGTAGGAGAGCTGCTGAGCTGCTGGGTCGCGTGTTCGCTGGAGCACCTGTCCCAGGATGGCAAGGAGAGCAGAGTTCCCAGCGGTGGGACAGGCACAGGTCAGGACAGCGAGAAATCCCCGGCCGTGTAAATGACGCCCGGCTTTCTCGGTCACTCCGTAGCTAAGCAACAGATCGATGGTCACATAAATGAACTGCGGCCCCTAGTACAAAAAAGGCCTGCTTACATCCAGTCCTTACCAGATGCGGCCATCACATGAAAGGGAATCTAAAACTCTGCGTGTTTGGCTATGTTTCCACATTTATGAATTAAGATAACGGAAACGCATGATCTCTACTGTTCCTTCCCCTAGTGTCCTTGTCCGGCAGGACAGCTCGCATTCGCCTTGTTCCGATCACTCCGGGCCCACTCCCAGTAGGACCCATGAAATCCTACCACCAGTAATGGTACCGTGCATTTCAGGAGGCGGTCTGGAGGAACCCAGGGCCGGGTACTGCCCTTCCTCACGATATTCCTGACACTGTGGGCTTTGTTATCATTAGTGGTACTGCTATTATTATTTGAAAGCCATTCCCCTTGAAATAATACCTTTGCATTTTCCTGTCTGAAGATGGAGGCAGAGAGATGTTTCAGATGAGGAAATTGAACCCGGGATGGTAGAACCACCTCATGGAACTGAAAAGAATTTCCAGGAATCTGAGAAAGAAGGAACATTAGAGATCATCTAGTCCCCTCCCTTCGTTTTATCCAGTCCTTTTATTTTACAGGTAAAAAAGCCTGAGGCCCAGAAACCCTAAATGACTCTCTCAAGGTCTCACAGCTGGTTGGTGGCCTGGCCGGAGCCCCGGCTTCTCGACTTCCGGCCCTTCTACCGCATAGCTTTCTCGTACCTAAGCCAAAGCCAGCTTTTCTCTGCATGTTTCCTAAAGATCCTAAGAGTCGATGGATGTACTAATCCCTTTAGGATTCCATTCCACTGTCTGTCTTCACGATTAGAATGTCTGTCGTAAGCCTACCTGAAGTCCTCTGCAGTTGAAACTCACTTACTGCAGTTCTCAATTCCTGCCCGAGGTCCTGAGGTCCTGACGGACACAGTAGTAGGCCAGGTCTCTTCCCTAGACTCTTGGCGTTTGATGCAGATTACTGCACAGCATGACAAATCATACCGTTTATCATTTAGAAAAGGGGAAAAGAAGTCGCAGATTGGTGCTCAAATGTCACAGTATTGGAATTAGATCATCTTGGTTAGAGTAGCGTGTCTGGATCGCGTCTAAAGTAAAATCCCCGGTCTGGGCAGCGTCTCTGCAAATAGCACCACTGCTGGCCCTCCCTCCTCACCTGTGCCCCCAGGAGGCCCCCGAAGAGGCGAAGTGCACCTCTCCTGCCCCGGTGGCCTCACCCTTGCATTTGAGACTCACTGGTCAGACCTTCCTTCTCTGGTTGATCTCAGCTGGTGACATTGGGTCCCTTTGAAAGATGTAGCAACACCTTTTTTATTACCTGTTTACGGTCTTTTTCCTCCTTCCAAATTCGTGTGTGTTGGCGAGGGGCGGGGGGGAAGCCCTTAAGTGCGTCTACGACCCGGGACTGAGCAGGTCAGGGGTGCGGTCAGCCAGGCCGCGGATGTTTGATACAGTCGCTACACTTAAGCAACCTTCTGCAGGTCTAGTTTTAACAAGAATAAGAGCGGGTTTTCTTCATTCCTTTTCCCTCACAACCCTGTCAGTAAGCGTGTCGGAGCAGCTCCCAGGAATCCTCATGGTTAGGTTCTGGAAACAAACACCCGCCCTCAGGGAGCCCCGGCCCTGCGTGAGGCAGGCGGTGTGGGCAGCGCGCTCTGATAGCCCCAGAAACCGCCCACGACTGGGGGACACGCTCTGTTGGGGAGGAAAAAAAAGTACAGAGAAAGTAAAATTGAAACAGTGCTTTCTAAAATTTACAAGGGAGACTTCTTCATTTGAAAGAGGGTAGCGCAGAGCTCACCTGGGCCTAGCAATTTTTGTCATAAATTGGCCATCTTTGACATACTTCTAAACAGTTAAAGGAAGAAAATATAATTTTACCACTCAGACAACCATTATTGGGTATTTTTCCCCAGACTTTTCTATTTACACAATGGACACCCAAATACATAAAATTTTTGTTTTCCTGAGGGTTTTTTTTTTCCTTTTTTTTTAACCTCACAAGCATTTTCCACTTTTCACAAATCTTCATACACATTATTTTAATAGCTGCATCATGTTCTCTCTTACAGGTAAACCGTATTTTATTTAGCCATATTGTATTCCTGGACAGTATGTGGACATACTCCAATAGTAGCACACAGTCATGGACTTTCCTGTAAAAATAACCAGTACAAATTTCCAGTGGCTAAAAGTGCTCACAACTAAAGCCTTGGCTGAAAAATTAGTAACTTAAATGTGAAACATATACTTCATGAGCAAGGGTCTCCACCGAGCCAGCCTCCTTGCCTCTAGCCCCGTCACAGAAGGTGTACAACTCTCCTTTAGAGAAGCGGCCCCCCTTCATTGTCTTGTCTCTGTTGTAGGTCATATATTTGACACCAGGAGAGAAAACACGGAAGACACAGAGCCAGATTTCACTGCCTAGACTTTCCTTTTAGAGACACTGTTCATTAGCACACGTAACTCCTTCCGTTGAATTCCCTCAAAGATCCACGTAGCATTTCAGGTTCCTGCAAAGTGTGGGCGTTCTGTGAAGTTTTCCCGTCATATCTGAATAGTTTTCATATACTTTCTTTGTCGTATGTGATAATCAAGCCTCCAATTTGGTGTTAAGAGTTTTAGAAATCATTTTGAGAGTTGACTCGTTTGTTACCTTTTAAAAGTCCAGCATAGGACCAGTGAGTTTATTGTTCACTAAAAAGCAGTTTTTTTTCCATAAGCTCAGTGTGAATATATAGAGTTTTGAAGCATATTTATTTTAATGTGCACACCTTAGATGCAGAATAAAGGAGAACAACTCTTTCCAGCACTGAGGGAGCAGTTGGGAAGGCCAACATTAATTAGGCCTTCAGCGGCTTAGAAGATGAAAAAGTTGTTTTGGGAGACAGGATAGCTCTGACCTATTAAATGAAATCATTTGTGACATCAGTTCCTCCAAAGATAGCCATTTGTAACTGAGTAAGTACAAACGATTTATGAACTCTTAGGGAAGAAAGACCTTTCACAAAGATTGTGTCAACACGGTGACAAAATGACTAATTAAAAGGCGAGAAATTCAAAGTAACCAGTGACCCACACGATACCTAACAACTATTTTCACAGAGGATTTTAAACTGCGGGGTCCAGGGTTTTGGCACCGTGTGGCAACCAGCCACAAATGGACTTAATATTATATGTTTCATTTGGCTGCTAGTACACGCGCCCTCCACTTCGTATGAAACCAACATATGAAAATAAGGGTTTATACTAAAGAGATAGCTTGCCATGTGGGTATTTGTTTTATAGAAATAATTACCTCCAGATTCTCTTCTCCAAAAAGATGGTGAATTTAAAAATACCGTTTTACTTAGAAACATTGCATGTAGACCTCATTCACTGTATAAAGCAAATTACCATAGAATCTTTGGCACTTGACCCAAAAGCCAAAAATCAGCCGGAAAGAAATTTGGGCTGTAGACATGCCGAGCCAGAGGGGGAAAGAATTGTTGCTATTTCCCTAGCACCTGTTTTATGAGGTCCTAGAGCATTAGAGCTCAGAGTTCTTGTAGAGGCACTCTATCCAAGGGACTCGTGCCGTAGCACACCGAACCGCTCCACCTGAGCTCAGAGGGGAGCTCGGGGGCGATGCTGGGGTCCACTGAAGGCCAGCTCATCAGCCGAAGACGAGAGATAGGAGGCATCCCTGAAATGTGACAAAGCTGGTCCCAGGTGTGGCTTATAGAATCAGTCTCACTGCTAGAGAGCGCCATCTCACATCCGTGTGTCTTTTGTCTTATTTCTGAAGTTACAAGGAAGGTTCAGAGAAATGGTTTCTGTCACGTCCTATAGTTATTAGCGTTTTACGTTTCTATGCCTGTTAGGAATCCCTTCCCTGAAACTGGTCCCGTTGGTCATCAAGTGGCCCTGATGAAGTCCTACATCCAGGGCTTTTGTTTTTCTGCAACGTATGTTTTAAAATTCGTCTTCTGCCCCCCAGCAGGAAATATTTCTCAAGGGAATTGTAAAGATTAATTAGTGACCTTTCAACTCTATTACAGTGAGATGAGTCTGTTGCTAATAAAGGTAGAAACATTTACCTTACCACTGTGGGATCTGTTAAATATGCATCACGAACCTTTGAAGGCACTTCCTTCCAAGACTGGGTGACAGCTTGGATTTTCCAATACTTGAGGAGGGGTGGGGATTGCTCAACTCACGCGTATGTGCAATGCCTCCACAAATTGGAAATACGTATCACAAAACTGCAGCAGTAAAATCATATTTTGTACATTAAAATTGTATTTGTGTTTACTTACTGTGACTACTGTTCAGACTTTATTCAGAAATCCTTTTTATAGGCTTTCTTAGTAAAAAAAAAAAATTCCATATCTATGGATGACGTCTCAATCTTCTGTATATATGTTTTATTAATATGTAAATATTTAGATTTTTTAAAATTACTATGTTCTTTAAAAAGAATTTCAACACAAGGCTAGATGTGAAATGGTGTATAACATTGTGTTGTGATATCAATTCCCAAGATGCTCTTTATGTCCGTTCCAGAAGAATACAATAAATTACTTTAATTGAACGTGCTGTTTCGTGCCCGTGTGCCAGTCCTCCGTGTATGTATGAAGAGGAGTCAGGGCTAATCATTAATTAAAAGGTATTTATTAATACTCAGGTGATCTTACACAGAGAGTTACATCTCCTTAGGAAGCTAATTTTTAAAAAATAAACAAACAAACTGGATTGCCACCAGAAAGAGTGTCTTCAGACACAGAAAGTCGCAGGCTGTGCCTGGCAGTCTGGTGAACGGCCGTGGCCGGTCCCCCTGTACCACTTGAGCATTAAGTACGGATAGGCTCGAAGCCTAATTTTAAATGAATGAGGTAGCTTTATAATCTTCACTTAAAAGGTTAAGCCCTGCTTCTATGGAAACAACACATCAGAGGGACAAAGCCGTCGTCCTTAGTGCAAAGCGGCTGGTGAAACCTAATTCCTTTATGCTCCTCCCTGAACACAGGAGGGCGCTGCTCCTCATGCCCCCTCCCCCCCCCCCCGCCCCGGCCTGGAGCACCCCCAGGCCGCTCTGTCCGTTCTCTCCAGGCCTCCCTTCGGGGTCTGGGGCCTGGCTTGGGAGGGCCCGGAGCTATTCTGCAGCTGCCAGCGAGGTGGGCGTGGGGTGGGGGGTGGGCAAGAGCGCCCACAGAAGAAAGCAGCTGGGTCGCTGGTGAGAAGGCAGCAGGGCAAGGGGCTTGCAAAAACAAGAAAACCCAAACTAGAGCCAGCTGGAGTGTCTCACGTACCCACACCGCCTGGAGGCTGGGAGCCTGACACCAGCTTGCCCCACTGCGGTCCTAGACGTCCGTGCAGCCCTTTGGGCCGAGGAACAATCTGCGAGGGGGCCCACGTCGTGTTATTTGGCCCAAGGCCCTAGGATGCCCTCGCTCCCACACATTTATGTGTCACCCGACCGACTGACAGCCCTTGAGGGCTGCAGTGCGAGGGGCCCAGGTGCACCACAGGAGGCGCCACTGGGAAGGGGACTGTGTCCTCTCCCCGTGGACGGGAAGCTCACACGCTGCCTCAGTTGCCCCCCGCCTCACAGAGTGACTGGGAGCAGCGGCTGGCTCGTTCCCCAGCTGCACCTCGAGTCCCGCTCAGCCGTTTACTGAAACCCACCGAGGGCAAGGGCTGGGTTGGACCAGTCCGGCAGGGGCTCGGAAGCAAGGGGAAGAGCAGTGAGAGCCGAGGCTGGCGAGGTTGGCCAGGTGCCAAACATGGCCAGGCCGCGCAGACCATCCCGAGAGACTGGGAAGACGCAGGGCGGGGACCACGGAGGCCCCCGAAGAGATCTTGATCAGATTCATGTGAGGCATTGACCTGTCTGGCTGAAATACGGTACACTGACGGGGCAGGGGCAAGCCTCAAGCAGGGAGTCCCGTTAAGAAGCTGCGGGAATAGCTAGGGATAAGATGGAGCTGCCATGAGGACACAGCCCCAAATGCCCAA